CTTTAACCCTATTGGGTCGTTAAAGATGTGGGTTAAATTCTTGGTGTGAGTTACTAGCGTTGTAGCTATCAGTTGTACCCTCTTTGTTTGTGGATAATCTATAATTATATGGTGGATTTTATATACTTGGATGTTGAATATTGTATATTTGGATTGTTAATGCTGTATACTAGGTTGGGATATGTTTTATACTAGGGTGGGATATGTTTTAAACTTGGATGGGACATGTTTTATAGTTGGATGGGATATTTTATACTTGGATAAACATTTAAAATATAAACCACCAATAGCATTCTATATAATATTATTTTACCAAGACTATATGATATAAATAATGGACATTCTGTAATTTAAATACGTTTTAAAATTGATTATTTTTTTTCATTGATTTTTTTAATGGACCGAACTTGTCGCCTTAACAATTCAGGCTGCTTGAAACGGGAGGGTGGTGTTGGGCAATCGATACACATTTGTTAACAAGTGGTCTAAAATTCCTTGTCTTGTACACACGCTAATTGCTGTGTACCATAGCGGACATTTATACGGCAGCTTTCACGAGCCGATGAGCATTCAATAGAAAACAAAATGGGCCCAGATATTTTATAGAGTTTATCTTTGGTTGTTTATAGAACGTGAAAACTGTGAACAGTTATAATGGGATGGAAGTCTCATATAAAAAGAGATATCATTTAGAAATGCCAACCCCCCCTTCCCACCCCCATTATTCGTAATGACTCCGCTGAAGGGTAAAGAGTTAAAATGTTGAATGACAGTAGCTACGGTAAAGTGGGTCGACCTTCGGATGTGGCGCGCGGTGTGGCTGACAATCGGGAATTCCCGGATGTTGAAGCCGGTTCGAAAGTGGGTGACGAGATGAGTTATAAATGTAGAGGTCGACTGTGACGTGACTTCTTAAGATTATGGCTATTTTTATATTCACAGTTATCATATAAATATATCTGTATCTGTATAAAATTTTTTATACACATGTATATGAGTGTATATAGTTTATATGTATGTATATAAAACTATGTGTTACATACCCATATAGTGACAAACTTATAAACTTGTAACAATTGTATCTGATGAAGTTAAAGGATAAAACTCGAAGAGCTATATAACCTTAAATCTAAACCTCGATTTATTACAAACTATATCAATCGTGTTCTTGCGTATCAGGGTGCTCATTCATATCCATGTGGCATTTCTTATCCACGTGCTACCTCTTATCCAGGTACAACTTCTTATCCATGTGCCATTTCTTATCCATGTGGCATTTCTTATCCATGTGGCATTTCTTATCCATGTTCCATTTCTTATTCGTGTGGCATTTCTTATCAATGTGCCATTTCTTATCCATGTGCCATTTCTTATCAATGTGCCATTTCTTATCAATGTGCCATTTCTTATCCATGTGCCATTTCTTATCAATGTGCCATTTCTTATCCATGTTCCATTTCTTATTCGTGTGGCATTTCTTATCCATGTGGCATTTCTTATCCATGTGGCATTTCTTATCCATGGGGGAAATCCTTATACATGTGCTACCTCTTATCCAGGTGCTACTTCTTATCCAGGTACTACTTTTATCCAAGGACTATTTTTTAACTGGTACTACTTCAAGCAGGTTGTAAGAAATATAGCCTGAGCTGTGCCGTAGTTAGATGCAGATGTTATGTAAAGCTATGCGGACGGTGTGCACAGATTGACTAAAGCTAAATCTAGCCACTGAGTCTAGCCTCGTTGGTCATGCCCTTTGGATGTAACTCGGTGGTAGCCTATCGTGTCATGGTTGTGGTAGGTAGCTGGATGGTAGCCTGTCGTGTTAATGGTGTGTTGGGTAGCCCTCCTGTTATGCCGTTTTAATCATTAACTGGGTAGCCTGATAGTATACTTTGTTTCAGTGCTAGACTGGGTAGCGTGATGGTTTGCTTTGTTTCAGTACTAGGCAGGTTAGCCTGATGGTATGCTTTGTTTCAGTGCTAGACTGGGTAGCCTGATGGTTTGCTTTGTTTCAGTGCTAGACTGGTTAGCCTGATGGTTTGCTTTGTTTCAGTGCTAGACTGGGTAGCATGATGGTATGCTTTGTTTCAGTACTAGGCAGGTTAGCCTGATGGTTTGCTTTGTTTCAGTGCTAGACTGGGTAGCATGATGGTATGCTTTGTTTCAGTACTAGGCAGGTTAGCCTGATGGTTTGCTTTGTTTCAGTGCTAGGCTGGGTAGCCTGATGGTAGCCCGTCTCTAGGAGGTTCAAGTTTGGTCCATAGAAGCCGGTGAAACGACACCCGTAGTTGACCTCTAGAATGTTAAGTTATCGAAGAGATAAGGATGATTTGTAGGGGGCGATCTAAATCCCTTGTCACCGGGACCTCTGTCATGTCTTGTGTTAGAGAGCTAGTTTTAAATACAGTCTGTGTAGATCTATGTAGATTATTCTGATTCGGTGTGTTGTCTGTGTAGATTCAGATAGTTTATTCTGATTCGGTGTGTTGTGTGTATAGATCTATGTAGTTTATTCTGATTCAGTGTGTTACGACTTTAGCAGCGAGGCGGATGATGGAATACCAGAAGGTCTAAAGTTGAAGGTCTAGAACTTGTTTATCGCGCAGGAGTTGTTGCCCCTGTCGGATTAAGGCCCTTGTTGACTGTTGTGTATGGGATTAGCTGGATGGGCCGGTCAGTCTGTTGTGATCATAGGCTCTCTACTTAAGGGGGTGACTGGCTTGATTTCAGCCAATAATCGTCGGGGTGGTGTTTGCTGCAGATATTTCAGGTAACCTTTCTAGCTGCAGTTATTACACATGTCTTGTGCTAGCCATAATTGTGAAACCTAAATTTTAGGTTTTTAGGCTAAAAGGTATGTTTCTAATAGCGAATTGATTAAGCTGATTATGGTATGTTTACGATGTATTTAAGCTTTTTTTTTTAATCGTTCAATTTTTAAAATCTTAACTTAATCCACACACGTGTATACTAATCCACTTGAAGTATACATTCCCTCCCCACCAATACAGTATATTAAGAATTTTAAAAAAATCCATTAACAGGATATGCTGACACAGAAACAATTATTTTTAATGAACTCCATAAAACGGTGCGTGTTACATTGTAACAGATTTATGCTTGTTATAAGCCTGTGTAGCTTTATAAGTTTATACTCTCAGCGTCGATATGTAGGTCTACTAGCTAAATGTATTGCTTAAAAGCTTACAGCTACATTATGTAAGACGCTGCATCTGTTTCCTTTCGATTAAGTGTTTGCGTGTGTGCCGATCATTGATAATGCGTGCTAATTAATTAATCGGCAATAAATTACCGGTCAAGGGTTAAGTTTAAAATAATTAGGCGCGGACTGAAGAAGAAAAAAAATGTAGGCCTGTTGTAACACGGTATAGATGAGTTGGATGTTGATCAAATCGTCGACCTTTCTGTGCTAGGCTACTCCGTTACCTAGTCAGGCTGATGATAAATACGTTATTTTCTGCTCACGTGGGAGCGAGCAGGTACATCAACATGGCTCACACAAATAATTCATAGGTGCAGTCTACTTTTTATTTCACCTGTTGAAGAATAGCGACGACCGTCTGCTTTTTTAGGTCGAATTTCGTTTTTTTTTATTGACGTTAAGCTTTTTGATTAACCGCTTTGTTTTATTGCTTAGGCCTAGTTGCGTGTGTAAAACGAAACAAAGCTAGAATCGAGATCTAGATCTACCAACGATGAGTAATAGTTTAGTTATGAATAAAAACCAGTCGATAGGTCTAGCTCTACTGTTACAAAAAGTCTTTGTTTCTAAAATTCTGGTATTCAGCTTGGACTTGTTTTGGAGGTGTTTGTGTTGAAACCTCTTCAGTCTTCTGTCCTGTTTGACTTCAGGAGGGCTCATATTATTATTATTATTCACTATTCAGTATTCAGTGAAGTGTTTACAAGGCTTGGCTTAGCTTCTAAGCAATCTAAGGCTTATAGTAACACAAGGCCAAATGTACAATTTAAAAATAATGCTAATGATAATTCAAAGTTTTTAGACCTAAAATTCATGCGTCATAACTCATACTCATAGCATTATTTTTTGTGTTTGTTAAATTTTTTTTTTCCAGATTATTAGGCCTAATTAATAATTATTAAATTATTAGACCTAGGCCTATTATTAATTTATTAAATTATTAGGAGTAGGCCCTATTTAAATAATTTAATTTTTATTAGGGTATATACTCACTTCTAGACCTATTATAAGCGTGATATCTTTTTGAGTTAAAAACTACAGACCCTACTAGAACCCTGGTTAGATCTTTCCAACAGTTTATTTATAGATTGTTCTGATTTGTAGCCCACAGAAATGTTTTTATTCAATGTCATTCACCAGTTCTGGTCTAGCCTACCTGTCCTGTAAACTTTATCTTTCAAATACTATCACCCCTGCCTTATGTAACATATCCCCCTGTCAATCTATACCCAAACACCCAGCACTCTGATGTAAGCTGTATTTAAACCCACCAACTGCCAGTCAAGTTATTATAGGGCTGGTTCGTACATAGCTCTACATGATATGAAAGACTACATTCATGTTTGAATATTTCTCACGTGGTTTATTGTTTAATTTTTTTGCTGTAACCCACTCGCAATTGAGCATAGGCTAGTGCAGAACTAAAATATAAAGTATGGCACAATGTCTCTGGGGCCCCTTTATGTCTTTATATGTCTGCACATACAAGGTGTTCTTCAAGTGTAAGAGTTTATTTTAGGACTCTTATATTATAATATCCTTATTAGTTACGTTGTTGGTAGCCTTTTTATCATTTAAATATAAAATGTTTTTTTTTTCTTGTGTTAAAATTGACATTGCATATTTCTATATTATAGGCTACCAAATTAAATAAGACCTGAATAAATATCTATAAAAAATTATAGTTTGTATCTCTGACATTTTTTTTTTAAATAATTAAGATATAAATATAAATGCTCAACTTTTAATGTATATTTTATAATTTACCTTGTAGGGTCTCCTAGGTCGGCCCACTTAAAAGATGTCAGACATTCCAGACGAGTGGCTGTGGATTGTCATTGTTGGTTTTATTATATCATTTCTTCTGGCATTTGGCATTGGCGCTAATGATGTCGCCAACACCTTCGGTACCTCTGTTGGTTCAAAGGTCATCACATTACTCAAGGCATGCATACTCGCATCGATTTTTGAGATCCTTGGTGCAGTGTTGATAGGTGAGTGGAATTCATTTGTTGCAATTATTTACAGTTAGGTCAGCCTGTGTTAAAGAATTAATCTGATTTTTAGGTCTGGAATGTTAAAAAAACCAAACTGGCAAAAGTTGGTCTCATCTTCACATGTCAAAAATATCCAATCTCTAAAATTAAAATTTTTTTTTTTCTTTTTATGGCTTTTATTTTAATCACAAAAGTGTTCTGATTAAGACCTTTAGAGGAACGTGTGATTTTAATTTTTTCCATACATTAAGGGGGCTGTATTTGCTGTTTGTTTTCTTTTTATTTAATAAATGACTAATGAATTAAATAATCTGGTTACCTGCGCAGGCTATCGAGTGTCGGATACTATACGTAAAGGTATCATAGATGTGGAGCCTTACAACAACTCTGAGAAGCTGCTGCTCATGGGCAACCTGTGTGCTCTCACAGGTGAGAATACCTGGTAGATGTTGTCAGTTGGGGAAGTAATTAAAGGTGTAAACTTGATTGACGAGATACATATTTTGAGAGTTATTTTGTTGCTTGTTCTTAATATTGAAGGGGGTTACCTGCAACACAATTATGTACTACCTGTCACCTTGTAAGGTGCCATATGTCCTGTTGATTCAGAGTTCAGCCAGCTTTTCTTTGTGGATTTGCTTTCCTAGTGTTAGTTCAAATAAGAGTATTTGCCAGGCGGCAGTATGATTCTAGAATTTTCTCTCCCAGATGGGAGACTGCCCTAATTAATAAGCCTCATCTGCTCGAGGTCTGAATTCAGGACTTATGGGTTAGCACTTGTGTGCTCTCCCACCCCACCATGTCACTCCTTTATGTGTCTGTGAATGTATAGTTCTTAATTGTGGGCTTACTAGAAAAGATGAAGATTTTTAGTTGTAATTGTTACTTAATAATTGAGAATGATATATGTTATTAAGTATGTATTTAGTAAATTAAACAAACTGCCAATGTATTTCAGGCTCCTGTGTGTGGATGTTTGTGGCAACTTTTCTCAGTCTTCCAGTCTCTGCCACACACAGCATAGTTGGCGCCACAGTTGGCTTCAGCTTGGTTGCCATGGGAGCAAAAGGTGTTGGCTGGATGAAGTTGGGGCTCATTGGTATGCGTTTATCGGACATTTTCATTGATTGTACTTTCGTTTTTATGTTTACTAAAGTTGCATATTAAAAAAATTATAAAAAATTAATTTGATACTGTTATTATTACTTTAAAGATTGAATAAAAAAAAATCAGTTATGAAATGCATTTTGGCATATATAATTATCAAATAGTTATGTTTGAAATAATTGATAAATTAAGATGTGAATCCAAGTATTGTTTACATACACAAAACAAAAATATGCCTAATTTAATTATAATCAGATACAAGTGAACTCTACTTCACTTGCCCCATAAACCGTCAGGTTTGAAAGGGAAACTTTTTACATTTTATTAATATTTTTTTATTTACTTTCAGTGGCCTCGTGGTTCATTTCCCCTGTAATGTCTGGAGGGATTTCTGCTTTGTTTTTCATTTTTGTCAGGAAGTTTGTTCTTAACAAGGTGAGTACTTGTAGGCTTGGAAGTGGCCTTGACCTTGTCCCCTGATGGTGGCTGTTGAGTTTACTCCTAAACGTAGCACATGTGTACATTTGATATTACCAGTAACTGATTTGATCCTGGTTCCGTGGTACTGGAGATTCATAAAAAATGTCAGTAGTGGGATATTTAAATTGGCCATTGCAGGTAGTGTGTGTAGTGTGTAAAGTGTGTAGTAGCTAGCTATGTGTAAAGCATATGTGGCTTAGAACAAGTGCTTCAGGTTATTACTGAACTCTAGGTTATTAATTACCTGTGTTCTAGTTTATTATCTGCACTCTAGGATATTACCTGCGCTCTAGGATATACCTGCACTCTAGGATATTACCTGTGCTCTAGGATATTAACAGTATTTGGTCAAGAATTTTCAGGATTTAAAATTCTGTTTTTATTCATCTCTCAAATGTTTTCATTGATTCATCAGGAGAAGCCTCTAGAGCCAGGATTGAAGCTACTGCCTATGTTCTATGCTTTCACCATCTGCATCAATGCTATCTCCATATTTCTGGATGGATCAGAGCGTAGGTTTTAATGATTTGCCTTGTATGATTTAAATGTAAAATCAGATTTACTTAACCTGTATAGACATTCTCTTTAAAATTCTGTAGCTTGTAACAATCAGTATTTTCTTTTGGTTCCTGTTTTTGTTTTATTTCTATCTTGCCTTGTCCTGACCTTATGCTTTGTCCTAACAGTATATACATGCAAAATAATTTTTATTTTATGTATTATTGTCATATTAAAGATTTTTTTTTCTTTCCTTTTTATTTTTCTAGTACCAATAGTTCAATTTTTGTTATAGTTTAGTATAAGTAGTAAATGTTTTGTTTCTTGAAGAAATACTAATTATGGAGTTTGTTTTTACTTTTTAAAAAACTGTATTAAAATGGAGTTGTATGTTTTCAGTGCTGGGATTTGACAAGATACCCTTGTATGGGACGTTCATCATATCAATAGGTTTAGCTGTGATAACAGCGCTGTTTGTTAGGCTCTATGTGGTACCTTGGATGCGGAGGAAGATACAAGGTCAGTCCATGATTTTCTTGTCCGTTTATTTTTGTATAGCAGACCGTATACAACTACAGTCCATGATTTTTCTTGTCAATTAATTTTTGTACAACAGACTGTTAAGATGAAGACTAGTGTTTAATTATTGTGTGTATTTATAGCCATGTGGTTTAGAGAAGCAAGTAGTGTAGGTGTTTAATGTTGACCATTGGTAAGGTGTCATATGATTTTAAACTTCATTAAGTTGGAAAGACTAAAAAAAACTAAGAACATTTTTAAAATAATTAGATTCCCAGGTTCAATTATCAGTCACTGTCGTGAGATTCACTACATAAAAGTTAATCATTCGTCCAATGTTTAGTAAACATAAAAAAATATTTTTTCACATATTTTCTAAAAAATTGTTCATTAACTAATTGACATATTTCTGTTATCAATTTCATTGTAAGTTTTCTTTAATCTGTGAAAATTAACTGTTATTAAAAAACTATTTCAAATTGTCCTGATGTTGTGTGTATACAGTGTACAAGAACAGCATAAAAACTATTCAGTTGTACCTTAGCCATCCATTGATAGAAGTAATGAAAGATAACTATTTTATTGTTAATCTGGTGTAGTCACTCGTGTTGTTATAAAGTTGTTTTTTTTTATCACTAGGTGAATGTGATGTAGAGCTACAGGATACAAACTTGATAGAGAAGGAGCAAAATTTAGACGAGCTGAAGTCACAAACATACAACTACAGCCTGGTCGTTGATCCACCAGGTAAAACATTGGCTGTCTGAGATTTTATAATCAGATCTTATAAGTAGATGAACCTGCCCAGGGGTGGACTGGCCTGCTGGTCTACTGGGAAAAGTTCCGGTGGGCCCGCATGGATGGTGCTGTAATAGTCCTGTTAGTGTTTTGATTTTAAAAAAATATTTGTTGGCATTTCAGCATTAACCCATTTCTATTGTTTATATCGAGGCGAATAATTAAGGCTTTAATGGAGAAAATTTAAATCTGGAGTTTGTGGCCACTTTTAAAATTTCCCCGGGCCTCTTAAACACAGTCAGTTCACCCCTGAACCTGCCTTTTTTTGGAACATTTATTTTTGTCATTTCTGGCAAGTCAAGTATTATTTGACAAAAATAAGTGGCCCAGTTCTGACAAAATAATTAAAATAAGGAACATTTTAAAACACAATCTAAAATGATTTATTTTTAAAAATGGTCTAATATCTTGAATATGAATGTCAAATGTTGATAAAAACTGTCCCAGTTTTTGTGTGTAATATAGATTTAGTTTGTTTCGTCTAATGGAGTTCAACTTTTTAATTGCCTAGATGATGGATGCAATGGCACTGAATCAAAGATTGGCAGCGATGTCATGATGACAAAACTTGAGAATGGTGGAGGGGATAACATGGTGAGCGTTTACTTCAACATGATATATTGGTAGTGATCACACATGAAGTATATTTTTGTGTAGAATAAGAAGCATTTACTTTAGCATGGTTCCATGACAAATGATCTCAGGACAAATGATCTCAGACAAAATATCTCAGACAAAATATCTCACGGACAAATGATCTCAGGACAAATGTTCTCAGGACAAATGATCTCAAGGACAAATGATCTCACGGACAAAAGATAACAGGACAAAATATATCATGACAAATGATACCATGGACAAATGATCTCAGACAAAATATCTCAGACAAAATATCTCACAGTGAAATTTTAATAGTATGTACGAAGATTTTAGTTGATTTAAATTTTTTTTTTGACTGTCAATATGGTTGATTTATATTTTTACTTGAGAACATGGAAAAAATCAAAGACTAATTTGTTTTTTCTTGCTTTGTAGATGGTCACAATTCTGGATGGTCCGGATATGCCAAATGGAGCCGCAAATCTTCACAATGGAGCCACAAATCTTCACAACGGAGATGCAAAACATCATGTTCCACTAGTGGATGAGTTCACTGAGGCAAGGGCGATGAACTCTACCACAGCTCTACTGGGTATGTAGTAATGTAAGGTCCAGGTGAGATCAGCTTTACTGGGTATGTGATTAGGTCATTGTGAGGTCAGCTTTATTGGGTATGTGATTAGGTCATTGTGAGGTCAACTCTACTGGGTATGTGATTAGGTTATTGTGAGGTCAGCTTTACTGGGTATATAGTGATGTTAGGTCCAGGTGAGGTCAGCTTTACTGGGTATGTGATTAGGTCCAGGTGAGGTCAGCTTTACTGGGTATGTGATTAGGTCATTGTGAGGTCAGCTTTACTGGGTATGTGATTAGGTCCAGGTGAGGTCAGCTTTACTGGGTATGTGATTAGGTCATTGTGAGGTCAACTCTACTGGGTATGTGATTAGGTCATTGTGAGGTCAGCTTTACTGGGTATGTGATTAGGTCATTGTGAGGTCAGCTTTACTCGGTATATGATTAGGTTATTGTGAGGTCAGCTTTACTGGGTATATGATTAGGTTATTGTGAGGTCAGCTTTACTGGGTATATGATTAGGTCCAGGTGAGGTCAGCTTTACTGGATATGTAAGGTAAGGTTAGATTTACTGGGTATGTAGTAATATTAGGTCAAGGTAATTTCAGCTTTTCAGCCTTATTTGTGTAATTAAGTTAGGCCAAGGTTCTACTCTGTAATAATACTGGGGTAGAAAATACTCAGTGGTTGAAGGAAGTGTGATAAGCAAAATAGTGGGTGTTAAATTTTTTGGGCAAAAATAAAAACAATCAGTTTTTCTTGTAGACTGCCTACCCAGTACAATGCCCTTGACTCTTGTAAATGTCACAACTCAGAGTAATGCATGTGCCCCGTCAGTTATTTTAATACACAGCCTAATGGGCCATGTTTTCACTGTTTAAATAATTTTTATCCTACAATTAAGTCCCTACTGTAAGCATCCTATATTTTGTTATGCTAGATACCCATTCATTTTCCTTGAGTCCTACAACTAGTACTTGCCTGAAGTTTGTATTAGTTTATTTTTTTTTAACTTAAGTGTATTAACGTAAAGACTTAATAATTACTCTGTATATTTCAGGAACCAAAGGGCTTTCAGAATCTGCAGAAAAATTACCAGCAAATGGGAAAGATCAAACAAACTGTGATGAAAAGGTAACGACTATAGTTGATACATTTTGTATATCATCACATTATCTAATATTGGCCTGTAATTACTCAGGGGGATAGTTGATAGAATTTGTGCAATACCACATGATCTAATGCTGGCCTATTTTACTGCTCATGAATGTGATTACTCATTTACTCATTTGAATATATCTAGGCTTTGCGGTAGAGTAGATTATTAAGTTAAAATTAGTTGTATGTTCAAAAAGATGTTATCATTATGTTTTCTTTTTGCATTCTTAGTGCAACTATTTAGAGCAATGTTTTTGTTCTAGGGCAAGAAATTATTGACCCGTGCTGCCATAAGTGACAAGAAAGAGACGACGTCATTGTTTTCTTTCCTACAAATCCTTACCGCCATCTTTGGCTCATTTGCTCACGGGGGGAATGACGTCAGGTATATTTTGTTTGTGTGAAAACAATTCTTTGAAAAAATTTAAGCTGTGTTCAGTTAGAGGACAGTTGGATTTAATTTTAATTACCACACTTGAGAAAATAGCTGTTAGATGTCCAGTTACAGTTTTCTAATTTTTAACTCATGTCAGTTTGTTAATTTTTTAATGTAAACTGTTTTTTAGCGCAATTTCCATACTGGCAATTGCGTTTAATAATGCGTTATTTCTGGATGGATGGATGTGTGGATGTGTGTCCGCAGCTTTAAGTTGTATCTCCTCCTCAACGAAGCAATATCGAGGACTAGTTCCAAAAGCAAATATTTTAAGCAAGTTCCGAGGATAATAGTGGGCCAAAAAAATTCCCGGAATTCCTTCCTGGATTTCCTGGAAAAGCCAAAAAAAACCTCGAAAAAATGCAGTTTTTGGCCCATATCTCGGCAACCAGACCACTTAGCGACCTGAAACATTTACCAATCGATTCCTGCCATAATTTAGAACAATATTGCCGAAGAAAGTTTTCAAAAATATCCTTTCGTTTGGTCACAAAAAATTAATTAAGAAATATTTACTACTTTTTTAAACTGAGCATCGTGTAGGCCTACTTGTTGATATAGGTTAATATAGTTGTCTTTTTTTTTTAAACTGAGCATCGTGTAGGCCTACTCGTTAAAATAAAACTATTTCCGTTGCTGAATATATGATTTATCTCGATTTAAAATTGTTATGGATAACATAAGGAAATTGCGCTTAAATTGTCACTAGACTTTTTATTAACTTGTTTTCATAGAATATGTAGTGTTTCTAGTAATGCAATATTCTATTGTGTTAGTTTTTTAATATGACTGATTATATTTTAAGTAATGCATATTCTATTGTTAATTTTTTAATGTGAGTAATTGTTATATTTCTAGTAACGCCATAGGACCTTTAGTGGCACTGTGGGTGATCAGCAATGAACAGAGTGTGTCCCAGAAGGCCCCCACACCCATCTGGATACTGCTGTATGGAGGGGCTGGGATTAGCATTGGCTTGTGGGTCCTGGGTAGGAGGGTGATAAAAACAATGGGGGAGGATCTGTCAAAGATTACACCATCCAGGTGAGTTGTGGATTGGTTGGATGAGAGAGGGGTTTGTGTAGGTCTAATTTATTGCATGATAAAGTGGGTTATGTTAATTTATAATACATTTTTGTAGAAAAGTTAACTTGTATATGTATAGTTGTCAAATTTTATGGGGTTTTAATAAGTTTATATAGATCTATACACAGATTTTTTTTTATTTCTTACAAAAATCTTCTTTTCTATTGGGTAAAATTGTATAGACAGAATAAAACTAGATGTATATTTTTCAAGAGAATCTATGTTTTTCTATTTGAATTGTCAAAATATAATGGAAAAGGTAAATTTATTTCATGGACTATTTTATGTATCTTAAAAAAAATATGCAGAGACACGCACAGTTCTCATTATTTTACTTTTACTGAGACTTTTGCTATTGGCGTTTACATAATCCAAACAACCTGTTTTCCATTCTCACAATGTGCCTATATGCTATTATAGTCGTGCTCAGGGTATCTAAAGTTTATTAACTGTAATTTTAATTTGCTTATTTTAGCTTATCACTTCTGGCTTAAACAAACATATATCTTACTTTTAATACGTTCAGAGTTATTTTTGACATGGGCTAAAGGTTGTAATTAATTCATGTTGATTTAAAAATAACAATATAAATAGATCACCTTAATTTATGATGAGGGCCATATAATTTTTAAACTTGCGTTTCAATTGAATTAGTATAAAATGTCCTTTAAACCTTAATATACGATCAATTATTTAAAATTCTTTTTTCTTCTGTTCCCAGTGGCTTTTGCATTGAAATTGGGGCTGCTTTGACTGTACTCATTGCTTCAAATGTGGGCATTCCCATCTCAACGACCCACTGTAAGGTCGGGTCCATCGTCTTCACGGGTCGCGTCCGGTCCAACGACAATGTGGACTGGTCACTGTTTAGGAACATTCTAATTGCCTGGGTGGTGACGCTACCTGCCTCAGGCCTGCTGAGTGCGTTGATGATGTATTTATTGAAGGAGTTTGCACTTTGACACTCAGGTTGATACGCCAGGGGAACTACTTTAATGAATAATTCTTTTTGATGTGAAATTTCATTTAAAGCCGCAGTTTATTTGTGGCCTGTGGAACTTGTATCCAGTGTGAGGTGTCGTCAGGATCTGGTTACTTCATGGCTTGTAGGAGAGCTTTTAGACAATTTTTTCTGTGAATCAAGGATTTGACTTTTTGTTGTTGATTTGGTCGACATTGGCTAAACCTGGATAGGAAGTTAAGTCACTCACCCAATGTTTATCTGATAGAATTTCTAATTTAAAAAATGTGATGGTTTTTGTTATTAGCTGTGTTATTACCTGAGATAAAAGAAAATAATGTTAGAATACTGAAGGTACATATCATGTCAGTCATGCTTAAATGTTATTTAATGCTGTGAATGGAAAAAGGATATTCTTAATAATGGGGACGTTTTAGTACTAATTTGAATTATCGGTCTAGTACATATAGTTATGTTCTAATACATGTATTTTATCCATTTGGCTAGTAAAGATATTTTAACCACTGATCTAGTACAGATATATTCTAATTCAGATATTTTAACCATATATCTAGAATAGATAGATAAATTCAATACAGATATTTTAACCATTGATTTAGTACAGCTAGATAAATTTAATACAGATAGTTAAACTACAAAACCTAGTTAATTTAAATTGGTATGAAAATAATTGCTGGTTTGAAATTCAGATGAGTGAGTGGAAGGCTTTGTAGAGTTTAGGTTTAGTTACGTCCAATGTACTATTATCCGCTTGTATTGGTACTGTACTCAGTACTTGGTAGTGTACTCAGTACTTAAACTGTTACTTGCTAGTGATTAGTTTTGTAGTGTAGACACTGTATGAACTGCTGAGTTGCTTGCAACAGAATTAAAACCCGTCCAGAAATAAAACAAACACTGTCTTGTGGGGCACAGAACAGCTTTGGCCTGCGTTATTTGGAAGCTTGTAGTATCTTAGGTTTGGTCAACACGCGAGGGTTTTAGTTCTCTTCTTGTTAGGTTTTTTGCTCACAAAACTTTTCTTCTGTTAACATTTTCATTCAGTGAATCTCTTTGTAAATATAGTTTTTTTTTTTAACTTTGAGGGAGTTTGTTTTTAAAAACAACGTTGATTTGGTTATCACTTAAAAAACTAGTGAGGTAATTAATTGGGATGTACTTGCCTTTTTTGTCACAGGGACCCCTAGTTTTTAGTTTGCCTGCTGGAGAATCAGTTACTGTAATAGAGATGTTATTAAATGAAATGTGAATTGTAAATACTGGTGGCCACATCTCAGAAATTGTACAGACTTAAAGTAGAAATTTTTTTTCTGCTTGTGCATTTTTTACAAGCTGCAGGAGAAATCTTTTATCAAAATTTGAAGCTTATATAATAGCTGAGTCCGAAGAATTTGAACATTACGTCAACAACTATTTTCTTTAAAATCAACAGATATATGATATAAGAACAACATTCCCAAACATAAAATCTTAGAAATATGAAGTGTAGACAAAGTGTTTGTTATAATAAAAAAAAATGTAACATGGTTTTACTATTGTAAAATATAATTTTTGCTTTGAAAAAGTTTTTTAAATTTGTGCAACGAATTATCTTATTTATATTTGATGCCATTTTTTAAAACTTAAATTTGTAAACATTTGTGGTTTAAAAAATGTTCTTTTTATTCGTCTTCCTCAACGTTTTTGTGTGCTTGTACCAGCTTTGAACATTCTATGACACAGATGATGTGTACGTGAATGTTTACTCTGTACAAGTACACAAACTGTACATGACAAGAACAAAAAAAAATTTCTGTGACTTTTCTCCAAGTTTTTCCTGTTGGTGAAAAATGTCTACTATTTTGACATTCAAACAAATTCTGTTAACAGTTCAAATCTTGTGATGTTTTTTTATCCAGTGGGAAAAACAGAGGTCAACAAATACTATCTGCAGGTTAATTCACTGACTTCCTTCTTCCCTCCCCTGCCCCACTTACCCATTCAATTCACTCCCCTCCTTCAAGCTTTGACCAGAAATACAAATCAATGTTTTCATCTTTTCTCAAGTTTTTCATTTTATTTTTATCTTTTTTGCTTTCTGAAGTTACAACTTTATTTTTTAAAATACTTTTTCCTTACAAGATAAGTATTTGTCTAAAAGGCTTAGACTAATTGGTTTCAAGAACGTTTTTTTTTTACTTGATGCTGAAAGGTTATATTTAAATACAAGTATAGATATGTAATAATATATTATACAATTGTACAGTTTAAATATATAAGGTATTAAAATAATCATTAATTAATACTACACTAAAAGATGTAGCTTGATGCAATATTTAAATAATGTTGATGTATGTTATATTTTAACTTGGTTTAAACACCTTGATTATTTTTATGTAAGTGAATATAAAAAAAGCTGTTTTAGACTGCCAATAATTGATGATGGGGAAGCCAAGCTTAGCTGAGCTGTAAGGGGAAGCAATGTTTAGCAGAACTGTAAGGGGAGGCAATGTTTAGCAGAACTTAAAGGGGAGACTATGGCTGTTTAGTTGTTTACAGTGGTTCAATAATGATCTCAGGTGTCAAAATAAAACTATTGAAGTCTGACACCACTTTCCTCATGTGAAGACATTTCTTAACATAAAAACCTTTCTTCACAAGAAAATTTTCCTCGCATGAAATATTTCCTAAGAACATTTTACTATGATTTACACAACCTAAACACCATAGAAATGAAAACTTTTTGACAGAGTGTCTTCCACATCATTGCATGAAAGAATGTTCTACCACATAGTTCTCTCACAGGTGTGGCTTTTCAAAATGTTGTGAGTTCAAATTATATTCAACTTATTTTTTGTTAGCATGTTGTCTACTTTTTATTGCTCATTAGTATGTGTTATTACTATCTAGAAACAAGGACTTACATTTTGTGTAGAAAAAGAATCTCTTATTTCAACCTGTTTTGTTCCACAACTTTTGTTCAACTTTTTAATTGTTTATGTCAAGCACATACACAGTGAATAGTTCTAGTGATTAGTTGCTAATTAGATCTGTTAAGATGGGAAGGGGAGGGATGATTAGTGTGTTGAGTTAAAATTTGAATTCTGACAAATTTAAAACTTGTTTTTTTTTGTCAAGTTAAAATTTGGTTTTTCGTCATGTTCCAACTCTGGATGACTTTCACAAAATAAATGTTTGATTTTGATTGAGTTCTTGAAGATTTTTCTTCTTGTTTTTGAACTTGTGAGTTTTTAATTTTGTGGTTGTTGCCGAGACTTGTGTGTCAGACATCTCTAAAGGTGTGTGGACTGTCAGCTGTAAGTCAACTTAGGATCTCAGTCATATTTTTCATGAAGTCACTTTGCAGGTACTATAGCTTTATTATGTTGTCTAAGATAATTGGGTAATGACAATCTACTTTTCATTGATTTTTACAAGAAAAAGGCCATGTTTTTGAAGAATTTATAAGTATTTTATTTAGTTAAAGTATGGCTAGTTCTGTTATGGTTAAACTATGACCACTGGTTTAACTGTCTGACTACCAGTTTAGCTGATCTCTGGTGAGTTTGGTTTAACTGACCACCTGTTTAACTGACCACTGGTTTCACTGACCAATGACCAGTAAATTTTGCTGAAGTAAACAAGCTTCAAGTGTCTTGAGGTCATTGGCTGGCTACTGTTGCTCCACAAGAAATAAAGTAAGGCCTACATAAACTTGTCACAAATGTTGAGAAAAGATGCCCAACTATAATGCATCTCATTCAGCCACGTATAACACAGCTCTTCCTATTTAAAGAGGTGGGAGACCCCGAGATGAGGAATGTAGGTCAGAAGTCAGCTGACCAGTGTAAAAATGGAACATGGTTCTAAAAATAGAAGTCTGATATGTAAATAAATTATTTAATCTACAAGCTAGATCAGTAGAAAAGCTAGTGGAATAAAAAGGTGACCTGTTACCAGCATGTTTACAGTAGCGATGTGGAGTTGTCGAGTTCTAATCATCAGGTTACTAGAGTTTATTTAATCACTTAATCTTTAACAATTGATTTTATTGTCAGGACATGTTCAGTGTTGTAGTACCACTGATGTCAGTATTATATGGTCAGTTGTGTGGTAGCATATGTTGGTACTATATCGTGGTCAGTTCTATATTGCCAAATGTCAGTACTATATCATGGTCAGTTCTGTCATTTGTCAGTACTATGTCATGGTCAGTTCTATAATGCCATATGTCAGTACTATATCATGGTCAGTTCTGTCATTTGTCAGTTCTATATCATGGTCAGTTCTGTCATTTGTCAGTTCTATATCATGGTCAGTTCTGTCATTTGTCAGTTCTATATCATGGTCAGTTCTGTATTGTCATGTCCGTACTATATCATGGTCAGTTCTATATTGCCATATGTCAGTACTATGTCATGGTCAGTTCTGTATTGTCATGTCCGTACTATATCATGGTCAGTTCTATATTGCCATATGTCAGTACTATGTCATGGTCAGTTCTGTATTGTCATGTCCGTACTATATCATGGTCAGTTCTATATTGCCATATGTCAGTACTATGTCATGGTCAGTTCTGTATTGTCATGTCCGTACTATATCATGGTCAGTTCTATATTGCCATATGTCAGTACTATGTCATGGTCAGTTCTGTATTGTCATGTCCGTACTATATCATGGTCAGTTCTATATTGCCATATGTCAGTACTATGTCATGGTCAGTTCTGTATTGTCATGTCCGTACTATATCATGGTCAGTTCTATATTGCCATATGTCAGTACTATGTCATGGTCAGTTCTGTATTGTCATGTCCGTACTATATCATGGTCAGTTCTATATTGCCATATGTCAGTACTATGTCATGGTCAGTTCTGTATTGTCATATGTCAGTACTTCTAGTCCCAGGGCTATAGATGAGTTTATTTCTTACTTAACATTGAATTATTTTAAAACTTTTCTTTTGGTGTAGTTAAAACAAGTATATAAATCTTGTGAAGTTTGTGAGGTGAAATTATATTAGTAGCATTTTGTTTATATGAAAAATCCCCCCCCCATCCTTTTCCTGAACAGTCAATGCAATATTTTTAATTAGGTTACTATCTATGTTAATAATTATATAACAAATTATAAACATTCTTCTGCATATTTGCTTTTGTGTAATGTTGATAGAATAATCTTTTTTCTTGCACTTGTTAACTTTTTGTGTGTTTACCTTCATAGAATAATTTTTTGTTTCACACAATTTTTGTGTGTTTATGTTGAAAGAAGTTTTGTTTTCACTTTTTGTGTGTTATGTTGAAATCATAATTTTTGTGTGTGTAATGTTGACATAATAAATTTTTTGTGTGCAGCATTTTCCTGGCTTGGTTTTTAAATATTTTATGAACTCAATTTTGGTCTGGGTTAAACTCACGTTAACTTAATCTGACCATTCTTTTCCTGTTTGGATTGTAAGGCTTTGTATAACAAGAAAACAAAATATAAACATTATTTCGATGATGTAGTTTGATAACGATTTGACTAAGACATTAATCAGCTTCCCACTGATTTACAAACAAAAAACATGTTTTGAGTCCATGTAATCAACTGTTGACCTGAAAGTTTTGATTGTCAAAATTTCTTATCACAACCAAAAGTTGCGCTTGGCATGATGTTAACAGTAAAAGTCCAGTCAGTTATTTGTTAGGGTAGAAAGAGATAACAAATTAATATTTGTTTATATAAACACACATGGTAGTCCATTTAGGGATCTATAATCTTTTGAAAAGAATTAAGTCTGTCATTAACAAAGCAAAATTAAACTCAGATGGAAAATGTTGATTCACTGAACTGAGTTAAAGACTAACAATTTTTTTACAATGGATTTTTCTATATGTCAATTTATTTAAACGCCAATTTTTGTACTATCACAATACAGCAATAGTCCATGCAACAAAATAAAAATTCAAAATGGAAAAGAAAAAGTTTAAAATAGTCAGATGAAATAAAAACTGCTTTTAAATAGAAAAAAAAATAAAGAAATTATAAAAATGAAAACAATAAAATGCAATTGTTATAGATAAAATTTTAATACTCTGATAATTGTTGTAATTATTCTGGTTGGTTGAACAAACCATTTTCATTATCAATTATTTTAAAATAATAAAAAACATTAATTTGCATACATCTCAAAAGTATGAACTATAAAGCACATCACAATAATCATGCATTCACACTAAAGCAAAGAAAGAATATTTTATTCGCTATTTCATAAATATGAAGAGTTGCAAGCCAGTTTTCTGATTTAATTTTGGCTCCTTGTTTTTTTTTTCTCTTAGCAATAAAGTTAAAATGGACATTTATTTGTTTGGTGTAATGAAATATGAAGTTATCATTTAACAAGATTATTTTTTAATAAGCCTATTATAGACAATATAAAAAGATCCAGGAACTCGATTATTTCCCTTGGTATAAGTATAAGTAGATGTAAAGAGGAAATTTATTTTATTTCCAAAAAAAAACTGCTTTCATGATTTCTAGACTTTAAAAATATCTAGATCCTATTTTTATTTTCAACTAATAGAATAAACATAGGCTTAAACATCAAAATTTAAAACATGTTAAGGCAAAATTCATTTTTTTTCCACAGGTATATGCCCAGCTGTTTAGGACACAATTTTATATGGAATATTCAATTCATTTTAAATAAACAATTATTTTAATCCAGCACAAAATATGTTTATGCAACCTTCACTAAGACATTCATAAATAACAAATAGTTCAGAAATAAATATCAACAAAATCATCACAATTAGAACAAAGTTAGCAGCTGTTACAATACATGTAAAACTTGAAATCATAAAATTTAACAGATTTTAAAAATTCATGAAAAATAAAAATATTTACTCAATCTCAGAAATTGAGGGTTTTATTACATTCAACCTAAGAAAGAAAAAAAAAGTATTTTTTTTTCAAATCTTGGAAAAAATTAGCTAAATTTTTAAATTATAATAAGATTGTTTGTAAATAATTAAATTTGTGACAACAGTCAACATTTTAAAATCGTTGAAGTTTTTGATAATCAGGAGAAATTTTAATAATTTTATTATATTTGTAAATTTTATAGCTTAAAAATTCTAGGACAACAAAAACTACTCCAACAAATAATGTCTACATCAGCAGCGATCTATTTAAATATTGCACAAATTAAAATGACATATTCATGAATAACGAGTTTAAAGATACATTAAAATACATAACATTTTTTAAAATCAGCTCATTGACAAATAAATGTTAAAAGTTTTGTGAAGTCATTTTTATGTCAAGAGTATTTGGCTTCTTTTCTAGTGTAGCATAAGTCACATGAGTTGAGTCACATGAAAGTCACATGACAAACACATATTACAGAGAGGAGAAAAATATTTTTTATTCTAACTTAAAATTTGTATTCAGAAAGCTGAATCCAATTTTTTTTTAAATTGTAAAATATTTATTCCTATGTAGTTAAAAATTATAGAAAAATCAGGAAGTAACAAAGTTAAAATAAATTAGTTTATATTTGAATTTTTGCTTATTCAACTTCCTAATTTAAAACAAAGCCACACTTTTATAGCTGGTTTCATTTTAGACATTAACAAATTATTTCTTGTTCATCAAAATTGTGAACCATTTTTATATAAGTTGACAAATATTGTGAACCATTTTATCTTGTTCATAAACATTGTGAACATTTCTGTCATAAATAAACACAGTATGTGCTTGCAACCGGGTGTTTTGAATTCAGGGGAAGTAGCCCCGATATCGACATCAATATATAACAGAGTTACATCCCTTTGAGATCTGAAATATAACTTTTGGTTTGCTAAACTTTAAAATAAAATACAAGAAATCACACAGCATGCATAAGAAATTAAATATTACATTTATAAAGATACGTAAACATTCATTATGATGACATTAATTTTTAAAAAATAATGAAATAAAACATGACATGTGGTAGAGCTAATCTAGAGACAGAGACAGACAAATGATATTTAAAAAAAAAAAATGGACAGTACTTTGGTTGAATGGATAGAAACAACCAACAAAACTTGTATTGTTATAAATAGATTCTCAAGGTTCATTTGATTATGCAAGCATTCAACTACACAAATTGTATGTTATTTATTTATACTTTTGAACCCCCCCCCCCCCCCACCACTTTAAATATTTAAATCAGTCTCACCCCCCCCCCCCCCTCCCACACTTCATACACCCTAACACAGGCCTTGGTGCCGCTCTAACATGTCTTTAAAGTCTGGGATGAAGAAATCACTGACGTCAGAGGGTGGCCTCGATATCCTGGGTCACGCTGCCCCTCCGGGCGCCCTGACCGGTACCGGGCAGATGGAGCTGAGGCACGGGCAGGGAGATGTCTTGGAGGGAGGGGTCACGGCTTCCAGGTGAGAACTGGCTGGAACTCGACCCGCCAGGACTGTCCAGGTAACGTCGGTTGAATTCTGGGATTAGAAAATACAAAAGTTTTATTTTAACACGACTCTAAGCTTCATGTAGGGTCTATTCATCACGTATAGGGCTGGTAAGTAGGTCAATAAACAGTTCTATGGCTCATGCAGGTTTTATTGAGCCGTAGAACTGGTTGGTGACCTACTTACCTGCCCGAATGTGATGGTTTAGTGGTATAGATTATAATCAGAAAAAGACAATAAAATTTTAATTTAAAATCAAAAGTATTTTGTATTAAATACATTTAAAGAAAACTGAGAACTGAAGTAAAGACTTGTGTCAGCAGTTTTAAAAACTATTCTAGTCAGACCTGATGGCACTTAGAGCAGGTGAAGTAGAGTTGATTTGTGGTCAACACTACGACCTGGTGCCTAAGCTTGTCTGAACTAAAGTCAAGTACTCATCAGAGCTGGGTGGACTATGGGACGTACTACTGACTGCAGCACTTGAATCAAACTTACAGGTTACCCTAGTAGGCCTATACTTTACCGTGCCTTAGGTAATGTTAAATCTTTTACATCTCTTTTAAACTTTTCTCCAATAAAAATACGCGAACAATAACGCCATGTTTAAAAAGACACCTTACACATATAAAAAAAGTTTGTAATGACGTCACTTCCAGCTGAAAGAAGCATTGAATGACGGTCGTTAAACGAAGCAGACGACTTACCGCTGATCTCATAATCGTCCCAGTACTCCCCGTCCTCCCCCTCCTCCGACAGCCCCTCCCAGCCCTCCCTCTGTGTCTTCAGCGTGTCGATGGTCTCGTGACATCGTTTGAACTGGGCGATTAGGGTGTTGTCCATGTCCCGTAGACTGGCCTGAAATATGGGGCAAAGGTCAGTGGGGGCACAGTGCAAAGGTCAGTGGGGACACAGGTCATAGGTCAGTGGGGGCACAGTGCAAGAGGTCAGTGGGGGCACAGTGCAAAGGTCAGTGGGGGTCACAGTTCAAAGTGTAGTCGGGGGCACAATTCAAAGGTTAGTGTGGGTAAAGTTCAAAGGTCAGTGGGGTACAGTTCAAAGGTCAGTGGGGGTACAGTTCAAAGGTCGGTGGGGTGGGGGGGTTCACAGTTGAAAAGTCAGTGGGGACACAGTGCAAAGGTCAGTGGGGACACAGTGCAAAGGTCAGTGGGGACACAGTGCAAAGGTCAGTGGGGTGGGGGGGGGGTTCACAGTTGAAAAGTCAGTGGGGACACAGTGCAAAGGTCAGTGGGGACACAGTGCAAAGGTCAGCAAGGACACTCTAAGGTCATTAAGGACAGTTCTGGTGTCATTAAGGACAGTTCAAAGGTCATTAAGGGCAGTTGTAAGTTCAACCAAGACAAAGCTCAAAGGTGAATCAATAAAAAAATCAGTAAAGGAGCATTCATAGTTCAAGGGTAAATAAAGAGGGGTACATTAAAAACAAAAATTTTTAACGATGATTCCAGTAAAAATCAAAAGCCTATTTTTAAATTAAAGAACATCCTTGATTAAAGAAAATGGTTCAATATTTAATAGATTAATTAAATTTTCATGGGGACACTGCTAAAAGTATATATTTGTGTATAAATTATATTTCGTTCGGGGCCGGGGGGAGGGGGTGGGCGAAGAGATGGCTGAAACAAAGAGTTATCGCTACATTAATCCTAACCCTGGGCCTAATCCTAAAACAGTCTAACCTCAAACCTGTGCCTAATCCTAAACCTTTGCATGATCCCAATCCCAAACCTTCCTTAAACCTGGGCCATACCATAAACCTAAGCCCAGTCCTAAATACGGTTCCAACCACAAATCTAGGCCTAAACCTAGGCCTAAACCTAGGCCCCTTCCTAACCCTAAACCAAGCCGTACTCCTAAATCTGGAACCGCAATCCTGGGCCTGAACCAAACCTTAGCCCCAACCTAATCCTAATGGCGAATCCATGCTACATCAACCCGCTAGACCCTATACAACCCCACTGTAGAACGTACAAGCACCATGGCGTGTCGACAGCACCATTTAAGTACAAATAGAGCAGGTATACAAACTGTTGGAGGTCAATATTAAAACTACCCCCCCCCCCCCCCCACACACACACTTGACCTTTGCCGCCTGACGACTTATCGTCTGCCCATGTCTACAGTCTGGAGCCGGTCACGTGATCTACCGGAGTCGCCACTCACTGTGAAACCCAAGCACAGCGGTTCTCCATTTTTTTTTCCGGCAACCCCCAGCAGTTTGTTTGAGAGAGTTGTCAAATAATAGATATAAAAATATTTATAGTAATAAGCTTTTAAATGTGCTTAAGAAAAAAAAACAGTAAAAAAAATTTGCTTTTTTCAGTTAAAGTATTGGTGGCTAAAATAAGTAAGAGGTTTTTTGTTAACGACCATGCTTTTTAAAAATAGTTTAAAAAAATATTAAATTTTTAAAAGTTTTCTACTTGTTAGAGATTCGTCAATTAGTAATTAGTAATACGACTCAAATTATTTGCTTTAAAACACAATTAGTAGCTTGAGATCTCTAAAAGACAATTATCTGCCCCTTCACGTTCCACTCAAGCAAGAAATTAATCAACCGTGACCAACAGTTCACCGTCGTCTGCTGGGTAATCAAGCGAATCGCTAGTACTTAATCAAGTTATCTCCCCTTTTATGATTGAGTTAAGTAATCTTTTATTTACATTTTAATGACTAATCTAATGTTAAATATGATGAAAAAATAAGATAATTCTTGTATTGTCATCGGAGACAAATGTATATAAATAGTTAGAACGGAATCACTGTATTAGAAGTGGGTTAAAATTGAGTTACAAGTTTGCCACAAACTGACAAACAGATATTGTAAACTAAATAAAATCTTTTAATGAATTAACGTTATAGGCTGCATGAGGTAACCAAGTACAGTGTACACAATAGAAAGTCTGGCGTTCAACAGGGGTACAGGGGTCGCAGCTTGTAGAACCCCTAGGATACACATACCCCAGATTTGGAACCATCGTAGTACAGCCCTAACGGCCTAATAAAATTGACGATCACTTGAGTAGATTTTGTTTTAGTACCGGCCTCTTGGACTTCCGTTTGAAGTCGTTCATTATTCAGGGCACACGGTGAAAGGCAAGGTCATGCGAGGTCATCTGGGGTCAATGAACTTTGGGGTCAGAAAAGGTCAGGGTTCTATTGAGTAGGGGAGAGTTATTATAGCGATATTGATGTTTCGACCTAAGGCCGTGGAAAAATAATAATTGAAAGAAAAAAATGTCATCCATGTTATGTAGGTTTTGGGTATGGAGTATATGGATCTTTGGGGAGGTGAAAGTCTATATGTTGACATATAAAAGATAAGTGTTATTTTAGGATAATGAAATGTGTATGTTAGTCTATGGGGATTGGTGAGTCTACATAGAAATAGCTGTAGAAATCTGTAGTCTTTAGCGGACTATGTCACTGTGCAAACAGATCAGGGCTTTGAGTTAATACGATATTTATTTTAATGCTTGCGCTTGAAATTATTTTGGAATATTATTTTTTTCTCTAAAGAAAATTAACGTCAAAATTTATATTTAACAGCTTGAGGGTGAATTAAAATGGCCACAACTGACCAGGCTACTGCATGTTATACGGTGTAGTGCTGCTTGTGACAGCTATTTAGGAACGTTGGATACTACATGAGAGCTTTTTGGGGACTGGTTATACTACACGTTACTGCGTGTTGCTACTTTTTAATGCGTGTTGCTACTTTTTAATGCGGGTTGCTACTTTTTAATGCGGGTTGCTACTTTTTAATGCGGGTTGCTACTTTTTAATGCGGGTTGCTACTTTTTAATGCGGGTTGCTACTTTTTACTACGGATTGCTACATGTTACTACAGGTTGCTACTTTTTACTACGGGTTGCTACATGTTACTGCGGGTTGCCACTGGGTACCGCTGGCTATGACGAAACATTTGACCACCCCCTAGAAGGTGAGCTGTGACGTCACACCCAGCCTGTTGATAACCCGCGACACTGTGAGCCAGGTAATGAGCAACCACTACACGCCCGTCAGGTGGTTGCTGTTGATAAATCAACCTGACATTTACAACAACCCGTCTGATCAACGGTCGGCCAAACGGCACAGATATCGAGAGCACAAATGTTGTTATACTGTCCGGGTACGGTTACCTACGTGATGTAATTCTTTACCGGTACAGTGACCTACTTTACGCAACATGTTGACTGGTACAATGACATACATACACATCTGTGTACAGTGACGTAGCCTACTTCACCCAACATTTGCCATGGTACAGTGACCTACTTTACTAAATATATCCGTTAATACTACATGTCCTGGGTACAGTGACCTACTTCACTCAAATTTGCAATATTACAGTGACCTACTTCTTTCAATACCCTCCCTCCTCCTAAGGACAGTGACCTCTTTTATTCAATACCCCCTCTTTGGTAGTGGTCCACGTTACACAATATCTCCCTTGGTACAACACATCCTGGGTACAATGAGTTACATAACACGTGCCCGGTACAGTGACCTAGTTAACTTTCCCCACATGGAGCATCTGTTCACTAACGAACAAAAAAACACCAGGCCACTAACGTGAGTTTTATGCAAATAAAAACAATCGATAGAATTGGATTAACTTGTTCAGCCAATTTGGTCCCTTCAACATTCTAGAAAGGGGGGGGGGGGGGAATACATACGAGGTGTGTTAATGGAGGGGGGGGGGGCATATGTTAACCACGGCTGAAGCTTGTTCTATGTGCGGCTAGAATTTATTGACGTCACACCAAACTCCTCACACACCTGAAAAAACCAACTTCCGGCTTGTCAAGTGAGTTATGGCCGTTATCGACGTGCACACGGTTATAATTTCAGGCTACGACACTTGAAATGTTGCAAACGTGGACAAAACGCCTGAATCAAGTTGCTACACACTTCAAGCAACAATGACTTCTTCCAAAGTTGGAATTATACAATAACAAGTTTAAATTAAGTTGTGCTTTATCTAGGCTTCACAGAACGTCGCTTTTACGCAAAAATTCTACTTCCATTAGGGATCTTCCATTTATGACGTCCACACGGGTGGGGGGGGGGGGGGGGGGGGGGGTCCGAAAAAATGCTGCGGGGGGGGGGGGGGGGGGGGGTGTCGATCACTCTTTCGATAAAGAACAATTTTAGCTAGTCTTCGCACATTCACACGGTAAGTTAACACCGCCGTAGACTTACAGACATTTTGTAAAAGTTTAACTCTCAATTATTATTTAGGTCTAGTAATGAATGTTACCGAAAATATTAATTTACACATGCTTACTAATTCAACAGCATGTTTTGAGAGATCTACTAAATTTTTGTGGACGTCCACAATTGGGGGGAGGGGGGGGGGGGGAAGAAAGGGGTTTGTCGAAAGTAGACCTTTGTAGAGGGGGGGAGGGATTCTAAAATTTGAAATTTTTGTGGACGTCATAAATGGATGACCTCTTAGCCTACACTATGCCTATTACTTTATTCCAACACCACCGTTCCCTAATCAAGATAACATGATTATGATAAGTTATTCACTAACTATTATGCAGGATAAAAAAAATCACTCTTGTGAAATGGATAAGTGGCACATATTGTGCGACACATGGCCATTAATTCATACCGTGCTGTAGAATGAATTGAAAACGTGGCTTGGACACGGATGAAAGATGTTTTCACTTCCTGTTTCCGTTCTGCGCATGCGTGAACGCAGCTTAACCTTAAACCTTTTGACGGAGGCAGTCTTAGGTTTACCAGTTGTTTGAACGTTTTTAATAGTGGATAGGGCTGGGTGTACGTTTATATGTACATCAGTAACATCAGTATGTACACGTGTACACACACCTGACACATAAGACTAGTTCACCCAACTCTAGACATACACGGTCCTTATTGTTAGATGGTCAGTTTCTGTTGTTGTCTAGTCAGTTTCTGGTGTTGTCTGGTCAGTTTCTGTTGTTAACTGGTCAGGTTCTGTTGTTAGCTGGTCAGTTTATATTGTCTGGTCAGTTTCTGTTGTTGTCTAGTCAGTTTCTGGTGTTGTCTGGTCAGTTTCTGTTGTTAACTGGTCAGGTTCTGTTGTTAGCTGGTCAGTTTATATTGTCTGGTCAGTTTCTGTTGTTAACTGGTCAGTTTATATTGTCTGATCAGTTTCTGTTAACTGGACAGTTTCTTTTGTCAACTGGTCAGGTTCTGTTGTCAACTGGTCAGTTTATATTGTCTGGTCATTTTTGTTATTGTTGACCGGTCAGTTTTTCTTGCTGTCTGGTCAACTTTTTTTGTCCGATCATCTGATCCTGTACAGCCTACCACAGCTCAGGATTTCCCCAACCCTTGATTAAAGCTCAGTTACCATGCAAACCAACGAGCTCAAATCAATACCCAAGCAAATCGATAATTCCGTTTCCGTGGTACCTGCCCCCCCCCCCCCCTCACTGCTGCATGTTCAAACCACGTGACAAAAAAAATCACGTGATTTATCTTTATGTCACGTGACAAGACTTAATTAGACCGTTGGCGGGGAGCTGGCGTCCAGGAATAGCTGGTCACGTGATCACACAACACAGGGGAGACATCGATCAACATACGAACGTATGGACGTATGTTCTAGATGACTTTTAGAGTGAAAAGGATTTTTTTTAGACCTAATGCTTAAAAAACCTACATAAAATGCTATAAAACACTGAAAATACGCCTTGTATTATATTTTAATTCTATTAAAAAATGTCATTACATACCGAATGTATGTAACAATTATAATCAGTGGTTTCTTCCAGACTTTTTTCTCGGAAGGGGGGGGGGGGGGGTTGCACTTGAAATTTTAAGGGGGGTGAGGGAGGGCGGACTAAAATTTTCCAGGGGGGGGCGGACACTGTTAAAAGTATATACCCCCCCCCCCCGGAGAGATGTCTGGAATAAACTCTGATAATAATTCAATATAATATGTAATGAGGGGGTGGGGGTTGTGTCAGTTTGAGGGGCGGGGAAGAGTGGGATGTTTGGAAATACATTTTATGAAGAATATGAAAGATGTTAGACAAAATGGTCACTTTAAAAAAATTCTTAGCGTTGTTTAGAGAAATATCTGGCCACTTTTGATGTGACTTGCCAGATAGTAATTGAACTCACCAGTTCTGTTTTAAGCCACGAGAGCGCGGCATCGATTCTTTCCTTGCTGGCGTTCCACTTGACATCCTTCGCCGTACTATCACTGTTACTACTCACTTTCACCTCGCTATGAATAGACGTCCTTGACCCGCCGTAAAGCTTCCCGCTGGCGACGTCATAAATGGGCACCCGGTGCTCACGTTCGCTGGTCAGCTGAGAGTCCGAGCCCTCCACGATCCTCTCCCCATCCGGGCACTGCCTCAGGTCGGAGGGGAACCCGTTTTGGTTTTTGGGGGAGGGGAGGGGCGAGGTACTGAGCATCTTGAGCGCGTCGTTGAGCAACTCGTCCGACTGTTTGAGGATGAGCTCGGCGTGCTTCATGCGCGTGCTGGGGTCGTCAAAGCTGAACCCTTCCTTTGGGTTGAACCCGCTGAACCCGTCCTTCATGGTGAACCCGATGTTCTCGTAGATGGGCTGGCCGATGTGATATTGTCTTCTTTCTCGCTCCGGGGTTAACCTGTCATACAGGGATTGCCTGGGGTGTAGATGGGGTCGATCCCTGTCGGGGGTGTAACGTCCGAAAGAGTTCCCCAGTGAGGTGGGTCGGGAGGTGGTTTGAGGGGGTTTTGTCACGACGGGAGGTTTGGTTTCAATATGTTTTACGGGAATTTCCGTTCTGATTTTTTGAATGGATTGCGTCGAGCCTAGGAGTGACGTCGTGATGTGTTGTAGCGATGACGTAGATATGTGGTGCGTTATGGGAATTTCCGTAGGCTTCGGGTCCTTTTCCGGCGACGAGACCGTTGATTCCGCAGCGGAAGCGCTGGCGATATTGGTGTAAGTCACGGTGGTCGAGTTGGTAGTTGGTCTGCTTGACGCCTTGGACGGACTAGAGTTCGGGCTGGGTTTGGGCGCGATGGCCGGCCGAGGTCCGACTTCGGGTTTTCCGCGCAGACTTCCGGTGGGGGTGGTGGTTTGCTGCTGGGGTTTTTGTGACGTCACGGTGTCCAGCTGCCGCGGTGCGGGTACCGGGGTCTGCTGGGTCGTGGACCGCGAGGGTCGGGCTGTGACCTGGGTGGTGGGGGCGGCGCCTAGTCTGAGAGGGCGTGTCAGAGAGATGCACCCCGGGGCGCTTGGACGGGGCGTATCCTGTTGCCCTGCGCGCTGGGTGTTGATGACGTGGACTTTAAACGTCGAACTTGTCACGTGGTGTTGGCCGTTTTCTGTAGAGGAGTCTGGGGCGCTTGGGGCGCCACTGGAGATGGACACCAGGCGGATGTTGTCGCCCCTTGTCGGCGAGGTGGTGATAGTGGTGTTGTGTTTAGTAGGGGAGACTAACACTGTCGTTCTCGTGAAGGCTGATTTAGCTCCCCCTGTGTTTGAGGTGACTCGCACGCCATGCGCCATTTTAGATTGATCAGTGTTTGTATTTTGATTAGGTGAAGTAGAGCTGACGTCTCCGTTTTGATGGTTTGAGTAAAAATTGGAATCCGTTTTTTGGTTGGCTAATGGCTTGTTGATGGTAAAAGTCAAATTTTGATTGGTCGGACTCGGGGATTGGTTGGGTGGGGGTGAGGTCAATGTCTGCGGGGTCACGGGGGATTCTGACCCGTGACCGTTGGAGAGCTGGTGTGTGGCTGTGTAGGGTGGGGCGGAAGACACGGTGTGGGACAAGGAAGACCGCGGGGCCGGGGAGGGCCGGCCATTGGGCTGTTTAAAGAAAGACTTGGAGGGTACGGTGACGACCTTTGACACGAGGGTCGTTGAAGGTCGCGTGGACTGAAGGTCAGTGGCGTATCCACTGGTCACGCTGTCAGTGACGTCCGTGATGGTCGAGTCGGTAGCGCTGCTGGTGGCGGAGAGAAAGGATTGCCCTCGGTAGCGCGAGAGGGAATCGAACCCACCATCTGCCTGTATGCCGCTGTCGGTGCTGGGGAGACGCGTGTGGAGGCTGCGTTTGATGTCCTCACCTTTCAAGGTCGCGGGTTTGGCGGGAGTTTTCGGCTTGTTCGGGGTCACAGTGACCTCTTCCTTATGCATATCACCACTGGCGACCCCTAGCGATGCTGAACGATGAGTGACTACTGGAGGTTTTCTGGGAGACAGGAAGTGGTTGCTAGAAGAGGAGGAGGAGGAGGAGGTCAGTAGCACGGAGGCGCTGAGGGGGACTGTGGATCGTGGATGAGATGTTTCATGGATAACGGGAATTTCCATAGTATTTTTAGACCATGGGTGACAAGCTCCTCAACGTGGTGAGTGACGTCATGGTTCAAAGTTCAATGAACCGAGTGTGTGTGTATGTGTGTGTAGGCGGCATGTGGTAGACGATGAGAAACTGAAGGATCTGCTGGAGCCGATGGTACGAGCTAGCTGATTGGCCATGGTGAACCACGTGACATTGCTGGCGTCTGTTCAATGTTGCGGATTTGGTCTTCTGTGGATAGAAATAATAAATTAATGACTAGAGTAGAGAATATTTTTTTTTATCAGCATTTGATTGTAAAACTAAATTTAGGAAGTCACTAAAATAAATAATCGTAAAAATATTTCCTTTTTTTTTCAGCAATAAAGGCGATATTATTACAATTTGATGATTTAGTGTCATAGTACACTCACACATTCACTCACAACCCCCACCAAAACCCTCATTAGACAGACTTAGGGAATAAGGTTTATCAGTCATTAGGGCCTTTCAGGATCATTGTTTAATAAAGGCCATTGTTTGGTAGAATTTTATGATGGTTACTGTTTTATGATGGTCAGTGTCTTATAACGGTAATTGTTTTAAGATGGTCAGTGTTTTAAATGGGTCATTCTTTGCCAATATTTTATGAGGGTCACTGTTTTATATGGGCCAGTGTTTTATAAGATTCAGCCTTTGAAGCCGACCAGGCTAGTTTGTAAAGCTGAATGTAGCTGTTGACAAAGAAGCGTACGATGGCCCAATAAAAACAGATGGACAGTTGACCACGGGTCAGATTATGGTCCGATAAAGTAGGTCACTGGGTTATTAAATAGGTCAATTGTGTAATAAAATAGGTCCTGTCTGGTTACAAGATAGGTCAAACAGGTTACAAGATAGGCGAGTCAGGATATAAAACACATAGTCGAAGGGCTGTTTTTTGTAAAGTGATACGGTAAAGGATTGAATTTGATATCTTTAATGTCATAATAAAAGGGATACAGTAAAGGAATGCATATCTTTAACGACAACAATAAAAGGATCGGTACCAACACGAACAGAAAAGTGTAGTCACATTTTATGGGCGACACATCAAAAGGTTTGTTAGGTGGAGGGGGGTGGTCCAGTTGTCAAGACAAGGTGGACAACAGTGAGTTGAGCAGGGGCGGGAACAAAGTCGGTTAGCGGGCTCGTAAATGTGGGTCAAGGTAGAGGTCACATCGCGGTTCTTAAAAAGGGAAATAATAGAATTTTATTTTTCTGGATTACGTTTGAGATGGTTATTTTATGGAGAATTGACGTCCTAAGAAAAATCCAGCCCCCCCCCCCACTACCCTTCTCATGTAAGCAGGGCTTGTCATAAGCTATAGAAAGCAAAAGTCTCAACATGTTATTTTAATGTAAACACAAAAAGGTCAACAACCTCTGGAAGTGAAACTACACATGTACAAGATCTAAAGCCCTCGACCAGTCCTCCAGGAAATCCATCTATCACCCACAGCCTCTCTCTGGCACCAAGTTTTCCTGGCCAGCTCGTGACGGCAATGTGGTGGACCAATCAACGAGCAGACATTGAGGGCTACATGCTGGGGTGGACCAATCAACGAGCAGACATTGAGGGCTACATGCTGGGGTGGACCAATCAACGAGCAGACATTGAGGGCTACATGCTGGGGTGGACCAATCAAGGAGCAGACATTGAGGGCTACTTGCTGGGGTGGACAAATCAACGTGCAGACATTGAGGGCTACATGCTGGGGTGGACCAATCAACGAGCAGACATTGAGCGCCACATGCTGGGGTGGACCAATCAACGAGCAGACATTGAGGGCTACATGCTGCTCATAGAGCACGAGCCGGGGGATTCTAGGCTGCGACCGGAAATTGAAAACTGATTCAATCCGGATTTCTGGATTTCTATTTTTGGTGTACAAGAGAGAGCTGATCCGTCACAGTCACGTGTCTAACTAATCACAACATGAGCGACAAAAAGTGCTATCTGTATCTATAGCTGTATCTATATATATGTATATCTATATACCTAAATGTCTATTTCTCTGTTTCTCTCTCTCTCTCTCTCTGTATATATATATATATATATATATATATATATATATATATATATATATATATATATATATATATATATATATATATATATATATATATATATATATATATATATATATATATATAAAGAGAGCAGATATTCTTTATAGAGCCTCAAGGGGTGGGTGGGGGAGGGCAGTGAACCCAGAAGAAAAGCAAAAGATATATAAGCTTAATCTATATACTTTAATTAGTGTCGTCAATCGTCCACCTCCAATGTTTTAGTTCAGGTACACCCCCCCCCCCTCCATCTGCACGGAGAAAAAAAAATGCTTTAATGAAACACTGATTAAGAGTGATAAATACAAGCCGATCGGTGCCGTAAGAATACAACGATATTTAGTCTTTTTTTTTTTTACTTTTCAGTAATTCATGATTTTAAAGGGTTCAACACTACCAATGCTGCGACTGAAAATATTTTGCTTCAAAACACTATCAGTAGCTAGTGAAGGACGATTATCCTAATATGATAGGTTTGAGATTAAAACCTTTGTGTAATCTTCCCTCCCCCCCACCCTCCACCACCCTGCACACAGCGTCCCAATCAGCGCCGGTCACTCTTATGCTTTCAGTTACTTCCCTTTACCAAGTTTCCGCGTGTGTAGGTACGCTTGCAAGGTGCCTAACACAGTTGTGCCTAACAGAGTTGTGCCTAACAGAGTAGTGCCTAACAGAGCAGTGCCTAACAGAGCAGTGCCTAACAGAGCAGTGCCTAACAGAGCAGTGCCTAACAGAGCAGCGCCTAACAGAGCAGTGCCTAACAGAGCAGTGCCTAACAGAGCAGTGCCTAACAGAGCAGTGCCTAACACAGTTGTGCCTAACAGAGCAGTGCCTAACAGAGCAGTGCCTAACACAGTTGTGCCTAACAGAGCAGTGCCTAACACAGTTGTGCCTAACAGAGTTGTGCCTAACAGAGTAGTGCCTAACAGAGCAGTGCCTAACAGAGCAGTGCCTAACAGAGCAGTGCCTAACAGAGCAGCGCCTAACAGAGCAGCGCCTAACAGAGCAGTGCCTAACAGAGCAGTGCCTAACAGAGCAGTGCCTAACACAGTTGTGCCTAACAGAGCAGTGCCTAACAGAGCAGTGCCTAACACAGTTGTGCCTAACAGAGCAGTGCCTAACACAGTTGTGCCTAACAGAGTTGTGCCTAACAGAGTGGTGCCTAACAGAGCAGTGCCTAACAGAGCAGTGCCTAACAGAGCAGTGCCTAACACAGTTGTGCCTAACAGAGCAGTGCCTAACACAGTTGTGCCTAACAGAGCTGTGCCTAACATTGTGGTGCCTAACAGAGCAGTGCCTAACACAGTTGTGCCTAACACAGTTGTGCCTAACAGAGCAGTGCCTAACAGAGCAGTGCCTAACAGAGTAGTGCCTAAAAGAGCAGTGCCTAACAGAGCTGTGCCTAACAGAGCTGTGCCTAACATTGTGGTGCCTAACAGAGCTGTGCCTAACAGAGCAGTGCCTAACAGAGTGGTGCCTAACAGAGCAGTGCCTAACACAGTTGTGCCTAACAGAGCAGTGCCTAACACAGTTGTGCCTAACATAGTGGTGCCTAACAGAGCTGTGCCTAACAGAGCTGTGCCTAACAGAGCTGTGCCTAACATTGTGGTTCCTAACAAAGCTGTGCCTAACATTGTGGTGCCTAACAGAGCTGTGCCTAACAGAGCAGTGCCTAACAGAGTGGTGCTTAACAGAGCTGTGCCTAACATTGTGGTGCCTAACAAAGCTGTGCCTAACAGAGCAGTGCCTAACAGAGTGGTGCCTAACAGAGCTGTGCCTAACATTGTGGTGCCTAACAGAGCTGTGCCTAACATAGTAGTGCCTAACATAGTAGTGCCTAACAGAGCAGTGTCTAACTGAGTAGTGCCTAACAGAGCTGTGCCTAACAGAGCTGTGCCTAACATAGTAGTGCATAACAGAGTAGTGCCTAACAGAGTAGTGCCTAACATTGTAGTGCCTAACAGAGCTGTGCCTAACAGAGCAGTGCCTAACAGAGTGGTGCCTAACATTGTGGTGCCTAACAGAGCTGTGCCTAACATAGTGGTGCCTAACAGAGCAGTGTCTAACTGAGTAGTGCCTAACAGAGTAGTACCCAGAGTTTCTTCCAGGCATCTCTGCCCCCCCCCCCCCCCGAAAATTTCAAATGCCCCCCCCCCCCCCCTCCGGAGAAAAAAGTCTGGAAGAAACACTGGTAGTGCCTAACAGAGTTCTGCCTAAAGCGTTTCAAAGTTTCTAAATTCCAGCCGTCTCACCTTCACCTGCTGTGGGAGGATGTCGAAAGTTACTGGCAGTTTCTGTTTCCTGGGGTTACCTTTTTTTAAATTTTTAAATTAGGTTAAGACGGAATGAGCTGCAGAAAAGTTTTTAAATGAAGTAGCGCTAATCAAAATAACATTCTTCAACAAACAGCGCAAGACGAACTCATTAACTCAGAAAGTAATTTTTTTTCTTTTTTTTTGGAAATCCGACCTGTATTTTAATACGGCTATTAGTATGAATAAGGGAGACAACTCCAATGTTTGAGTAGTGTTTAGGAGAGAATTGAAAGCAAAAAATTTACATTTCAAGCGGACATTGATCAATTATGTGGTCACTGAATAAAGGTTGCTTAGTTCAATTACAAGTCACGTCACTTCAACATATATATATATATATATATATATATATATATATATATATATATATATATATACCTATGTCTATGTCTAAATCTATAATTCAGCTATACATTCAGTCTATTAGCTTGACGTTTAATGTGCAAATAGACAGCTGTAAACGAATAACCTCTGCCTTTATCTTCCCTTCAGATGCCGACAAATGGTGCCCCAAATGCCCTAGACTGAGCGGAATAACTTCGAATGACAGCTGCTTTAGAAATAAACATTTTTAAAAACCCAGAGAGCTGTTGGGTTAATTGAAGTTTTACGCTAGGGAGGGAGGGTTCGGATAATTACTGGAAGGATGTTTGTGAGTATCCGGGAATGGGGGGGGGGGGGGGGTGGGGGGGGGAGTAAGAAGCTTGAAGAAAATAAGGAAACTACACATGAACTAAGGTAAAAAAAAACTGTGGAAATGTTAAGACTCGTTACAGTTGTGCAATTTTATGATCACGTGACGACCGTGTTGAGATCGCGTAGGTGAGCAGGAGGGGGTGGAGGACTTTAACCCGCTACCCTGTATTCCCCCACCCCAGCTAAGTTGTGGATGGAAGTTTCTAGAAGCAGGAGAATTAGATGATGAGATGTGAAGTGACGTGTGTCTGGCTTTCAGGTATAAAGTGATGAGGTAGAGATTAGGTGGTGGTGGGATGGTGGTGAGGTAGAGGTGAGATGGTGGTGGGGTGGTGTTGGTATAGTGGTAATATGGTGGTGGGATAATGGATGAGATAGTGGTGGGATAGTGGTGGGATAATAGTGAGATGGTGGTGAGATAATGGTGAGATGGTGGTGAGATAATGGTGAGATGGTGGTAAGATAGCGGTGATATAGTAGTAATATGGTGGTGATATTGTGGTAAGATAATAAATGCAAGTGGCGTGTGGGTGGAAGCTATGTATAAAAGTGAAGGAGAGGGGGTGGGGAGTTGATGAGTTTGTGTACAAGAAGAAGAACTAAAGAACACAATATCTGCGACGTTATGAGGACATAGACATGGCGTAGTGTGGGAATGTTTAGGATCATTACAGCGTACAGCGTACAAGATATGATGTTAGACCACATGGCATTCAGCGTACACCATATGATGTTAGACAAATATGGCATGCAACATACACCATATGGTGTTAGACCACATGTCATTCAGCGTACACCATATGATGTTAGACAAATATGGCATGCAACATACACCATATGGTGTTAGACCACATGGCATTCAGCGTACACCATATGATGTTAGACAAATATGGCATGCAACATACACCATATGATGTTAGACCACATGGCATTCAGCGTACACCATATGATGTTAGACAAATATGGCATGCAACATACACCATATGATGTTAGACAAATATGGCATGCAACATACACCATATGATGTTAGACCACATGACATGCAACATACACTACATGATGTTAGATAAATATGGCATGCAACATACACCATATGATGTTAGACAAATATGGCATGCAACATACACCATATGATGTTAGACAAATATGGCATGCAACATACACCATATGATGTTAGACAAATATGGCATGCAACATACACCATATGATGTTAGACCACATGACATTCAGCATACACTACATGATGTTAGATAAATATGGCATGCAACATACAGCGTACGATGTTAGACAAACATTGCGTGCAGCAGACAATCCAGCACGTATGTAAAAAACCGGAAGTGCGATTATCTTCCTGCCCGGCAGATTTAGAGCTCACGTGATTCTAGCACGTGCCAGACTTGTTTTTTTCTTCTCGTCTCTATCGAATCAGTACAACCGTCTGGTGACGTCACACGATGTTTGCTGACCATACGAGATGTGTGCCAGGTGACATCATTATATGCTGGTCTCGTTATATTATGACGTATTTCCGCTGACGTCACCAGAACTCTGAAACGGTCATACTGTTCCCGTACACGTAGAAGTAATCGTCATCTTTTATAAGACAAGTCTAGTTTATATTCTCTAGATGGTGAATCCATGATTCAAATACGAGTAGCTCACATTACGAGGTCTGCTTAAACTTTGAAGTCTGAAAATATCGACTGCTCCCCCAACTGACACCCCTCACACCCCTCCCCCACACATTATTGTGTGTGGGTTGACCTCATCAGTCAAGACATTCATTACTCGCATGCCTCAACCAACCCCTCCCCCTCGTATGATTGTTTTATAAGGCCCATAACAAGGCCGCGGCCCTCATAAAATATTGACTGCTGAAGTCGACGGCAGAAAGTCATTTCATAAAGTAGTTCCCTCCCTTGTCTTGGGAAGGAAATTCCAGGTCCCGGTAGAGGTTTTATAGATCTTAACTGGCAAGGTTCAATTTTAATGCAGGCTTGACGTGTGTACGTGTACAGTGATGGGACGCCATTATTATATTGATCAGCACATTTCTAAACACGGAAAGTAATAGTTGTATCTACATTTTGCTTCTATGATAAAATAATACCAAGAATTCACTTTACTATGAGTAAATTACGAATATTTCATTGAGAAAATTTGTTCAAAACATTTAAAACACATTTTAAAAAAATAATTAAAAACTATTTCTACAAGATGCAGTAAAATAAAGGTAGGAAAAATTAATGATCTTGTGCTTCAGGTGGCATTCGGTGTTTCTTCCAGGCATCTGTTCGGAGAGTCTACCGCCCCCACCCCCCGCAAAGGAATTGGCATTTATATAAAAAATATATTATCTAACAGTGTCCCCCCCCCCCCCCCCGAAAAAAGTCTGGAAGAAACACTGGTGGCATTGGGATCCCAAGTGAGGCGCTGAACGTGACGTCATTAAAAGATGGCTTCCGGTGATATAGAATATAAAAGAAAAGTCTTGATTGTAGAGGAAAAAAACTGTAGGGGATGTTAAGTGGAGAAAGTGATGCTAAGTTGAGGGAAGGACAACTCTGATAACATATTGGGATAGTGAAAGGGGAAGGAATTACTTAACGCAAGGGGAAGTGAGTGGCACATTCAAGGGGAGTAATTCAAGAGCAATTAGTGACTAGGATCGGTGGTCACTCGTCGTGAGGGAAGCCGGCTGTTTATTTCCGTCGGTCGCCGTCGTGTCGGCGTTGGCTGCGGTAACTTGATGTGTCAAGATAAGCATTCAATAGGGCTTCAACATAACGGGCGGGGCGGGAGCATACACTTCTCGGGGGGGGGGGGGGGGTAAGAAGAGAGGGGGGAGGGGGGTTAAGAGGCTTAGGTTATCTCATGTGTAATTAAAAGGCCAAGTATTTTAGTACAATATTTGTTGGTTGTTATTTTTTCCAGCAATTTTTAGTTCGCTAGTAAGTGCTACGTTAGCAATGCTGGTATTTACAACACAACATCGTCACAGAGGCGTAGCGAGGGGGGGGGGGGGGGCGGGGGGGGGGACGACGACGACATATGTCCCCGGGCGCCGACCTTAGGGGGCGCCAAAATGGGTTGGAAAAATAAATTGAAAGCTTGAGGGGGTTGCAAATCGAAAGTTTAAGGGAGGGGGGTGCAAATCGAAAGCTTGAAGGGGGGGGGGGGGGGTGCAAATCGAAAGTTTGTGCCCGGGCGCCGGGAAGGGTCGCTACGCCCCTGCATCGTCATATGACATCAACTATGACCAATAAAGAAAGCTGCCCAAAGCCGAGCCTGGTGGGGAGGTGTGGTGGCAGTCCTTAGCTCCCGAGGGGCTACAAAGGAATACGTCATGACCAATTTACTATAAAACACTCTAAAATTCTAAATGGAATTTACTAGAAATACTAGTTCAACTATATCGTGATAATTAAAATTCGAAACTTTTAAGATTAAACTGTAATAGAAAAGAAACTAGATCTATAAATAAAAAAAGAAATGGCGACATCTTTTATATATTTTCAAAAAGTAAATGTCTCCACTTTCTTAACAAATACAAGAGTCCTGAATTACACCCAATCTTGAGATTTTAATCAAGCAAAGAGTTCTCATGTTAATCGTCAGATCGTCTGGTTAAAAAAAAAATAAAAAAAAAAATAACCAGAGCTTTCAAATCGATAGAAACAAGAAGCTGCAACTAAATGAATTTAAATTTCTACCCTTTAACTCCGTGTTTAGAGAGTTTGCTGGTTCCCTGTATAGTTCGCCAGACAGGCGACAGTGGAGATATCTCTATGGAAATGTATGAAAATTCAAGGTTTAACAACAATGACTAATGATTTTACATTTTAATTA